CACGTCCCTTTCTTCACCCGAACCACCGCCTGCCAATAAGATCGCGGCGCGGTCCTACGATACATACAGCTGCTGGAACGACTCACGCAACTAATATCGCTTGCGGTGGTTCATAGATTGAGCATCAGCCTGAGGGACGCGTCAAGGACCGTTCCTTAAGGCGCATAAGGGCGCGAGGTCGAAATGTTCTATAGCCATGAGAGTAAGTGGAATTAGATATGGAATTAACCTGAACCTGGAGCTTTGCGAATGCTGTTGTCGAATAACTACTGATGCACTTCTCCGGATAGTTCTTACTTCTCCTGAACATGGAGTTGCTACGGTCTGGTGAGTTGTCGCGTTCCCTCCTGAGACCTGTCTGCTCTATTATACTGATATTTCAATTTGTATAGGCTTGTTGCCACCCTGGGCTCGAAATCCGTCACTAGAAAGTTGAACAAGAAGGCTATACTGGATGTGGATGTCCCCAAGACGTGTGGTGTCATAATGGACCCGGTGGCGCCGATGGCTTTGAGGCTTCAGGGGAATCTACTGTAAGATCAGCTATTTGCAAACTGGTCCGAGGACTACTTTACTTATCGCATCATACTACTCTAGATATGGGGTGTCAAGGGTATACAGCCAACAGTGTGGATACACCCTCACCGATGTTCAAGCCATGCATGACAGGATGAGAGCTCTGCTGAAGGTTCTACCGGGGGGTGGCCTTGACCCTATGGCAGGGAAGGCTAGGTTTGTACTCCTGGTGTCTCAAGACTTGCGGACATTGCGACAGTGTCTCACTGCTTACCCTTCTCACAGACCAGATCAGCTCATTCTACCCTACGATCCGAGTTTCCTTCCTGAAAATAACCTTCCTGGCTTGGGACTAGATTTTTCAAGCTTGAATCTGTCGATTGACCTAGACCTGAGTCAACAACCGAGTCGGATGTGGCCTCAGACCCCTGATCTTAGCCAATCTGCTCTCTCCCAGACTGATAGTCTAAAACTCGATTTGTCTTCCAATAGATCAATGGGGGATATAGATGGCTTCAGCGCAGGTACCAGTGTGAGCCGGTATGGAGGTATAGGCATCGACTTTGGCGGCATCGAGCCCCTCCAGCTTGGTGAAGAATCCGGAGTGATCCTGCAACCTGACTTTGAATTTGACGAAGATGGAAATATCATAGAGCTTACTGGATCAGTTCAGCCCGAGACAAGATTGCAAGGGACTATGTCCGCCATGGAAGAAAGAGCTGCAGATGCCATGGAGGTTGATGTGACAGAGAATTTTGTCATGGAAGATCAGGTACGCTTCATTAATCTCTCATTAAATATTTCAATTGCCTGACAAAATTATGAAATAGTCGGCTTTACTTGACGAAGGACCCAAGATAGAACTACCAGATCTAAAGCCAAAAACCGAAAGCGTTGACATACACAAGACCACACAGCACCGCGCCTCTATCTTTGACCAGGCAGTGGACGATGAAGATACTGTGGAGTCGAATATGGCATTGCAGCAAAAGAGAAGAGGTCCCAAGCTCATTGGTTTAGATGACCAAATCGCACTGCGAAACACTGAAATGGCCCAGTTGAATAGTAACTATGTGCAGAACATGGCAGCAGCCTCGAAGCAGAAACAGAGAAACAAGCTTCCAACCTTGGCGAAAAAGAGGGCTGCCTTCTGGGTCTTCGGTCAAGGCATTGGTTCTGTCGGTGTGGGCGTGGGGTTGTCTCAAGTCACGCACCCATTGCATTCTTTCTCGGGCAAGCAGCTGTATAAAAAGCTCCTTGATGAGCCAAATGGTCGAGTACGCAAGCGTGTTCATCCCTCGATTGAAGGCGGGGATCCCGATCTCGATACACGCCGTGTCCGCCCAAGGGTGGAGGATGAAGACCAGATCGGACGTCACGACGACAGGTTATGGAACGAGGTATGTATATGTCGACGTGCTCTTATGTTTACCCGGCCAAAGCTGAGCTATCATACGCAGGACGTCGAAATTGGTCGCAATGCACCTCCCTCTCTTCGCGATGACCACTCTATTCAAATGCCATGGAACATCACAGCATCTGTCCAAAGCTCTCGGCAGGGCTCGTCTGCTGCAAATATCTTTCGCGGTTTTGGCAGCGCCAGTGACTTTTCATCGCACGGCATCTCTGATACCGGATTTGGAAGAGCCCGCAGTCGTCTCACTAGCGCAAGTCCTCTTGCTGGTCGTGGGTTTCCTTTCGATGCTGAAGCGCTCAATGTCCTCTCCATTCCCGGCAACGAATTGGGTGAGCTGGACAACCTTGACGACTTTGACATCTCTCAGTATCTACACACTGAGCTTGCGACAGAGCATGGCGGAGTCTTTGAGGAACATATCATGGGAGCAGGTCATGAAACGCACTCTGTTGTTCAAGGCCTGCAAGTGCTCAATGATGAATCACAAAAGTCAACACTTGATCAAGAGAGTTTGAACTTCCTCAAGTACTTGGAAAGCATATTCATGACCACGACACCTGCAAACGAAGAGGAAATTTATGATTCGAATGGTCCATCCGGGGAAATAAAATCAATAACATTCTCCACACTCCTCCCTCCGCAGAAGACCTCTCACATCGTGGCTACTCAAGGCCTCATGCATGTGCTTACTCTTGCAACTAGAGGTATACTTTCGGTACACCAAGAAGCCTACGAAGACCAAAGCACTGAAGAATATGGCGTGCGATATAACTACGGAGAAATTCACATATGCATACCCGGATTGTCGGAGGCCACTGCAGCACACCATTGATCGTCCGTTGTCAGACCTGTAGCTGCAGAATCCCCCGTCTGTATTGAGTACTCATTTTCCTACTCCTGGCTGTTTTGAGTAGAGACATGCACGTGTCATTCTATTCTATCAATTTCCTTATTTACATCATGTAAAGTACAAGTCTCCATCACAAAACGCCTAAATAGCTGATCTATCAAACTTACTGTTCATACCATGTCTGAAACCCCAAGCCTCTCAAATACAGTTTTAAACCAAACTTTCCGAAGCCTCATACCACTAAATCAGCATCATGACCACCACCAAGTTATCAGTACGAGATCCCCAAGCCCACATCGTTTGCGCCAGGAAAATAAACCTTGCACAACAGACTCAAGTACGCATTGACAAATCAAGGTAGAGAAAACCCTATCGATGACGTCCGGACATAAGAGCAGCAGACATACATCTGAAACAAAGAGTGAGCCCCTCAACCCCAAGCAAACAACATACGAACTAACTAACTACAAAACGAAGCGACGCAGTAAGTACAAGGCGTCGAGAAGAGCTCGCGATTGGCCTCTGAAGATCAGTGGGCCGGTGATCTCATCATCATCAAGAGGAAAGATCAGATCAGGCCAGGCCAGGACAGTCTGCAGTGGTTCTGGTCCAACACCATAAGTGGACAAGAAGTAGTAGTAATATTGCAAGCCAGAAAGCAGTTTTATTTGAAATTAAGTCGTCATTTTTCCCCGGGTGTAAAAACAAATAAACGGTCTTGATTAGATCCATACCAGTATGTTATACGAGAGTACGTAGTACTAAAGTTTAGTAATAATAAGTAATACGTACAAACGCTTCCATTTATGGATGGATGCCGGTGACACCTAAACAAAAATAGTATACAGATTAATACATGACGGCGTTTAACCAGCATAGTATTATATCAGACTATATATGTATTGCATCTTCAACATCGCACATCGCACAATTGAAGCATACATTCCTTCAAGATATGATTATGATGTTCAGGGGGCAGGGAGTTCGGTTCCTCCTCCAAGACACGGCAAGACACGCGAGGTTGGCGGTGGCTGTGCCGCGCTGCGTTCTTGCGTTTCCTTACACAGCATACTACGTACTTACTGTGTGTTGTCACAAGAAGTTGCGATCGCAGTGAAATGATTAATTAGTATGTTCCATTTTTGATGATGATTTAGATTCAAGACCCCTCGTTTATGTCTCAGGTTTGCAAAAAGAAAAATGTTGAATTTATCAGTCATGGGTTGAACGAATACGAACGGGGCATAGATAGATAGATAGAACAACACAGCAAGTTTACTTCTTTTAGTATCCGCGCGGTCCGGCCGTTTAAGTGGTGGCCTTGTGAGACGCGGTATATCGAAACTTGTAAATGTGCCGATCGTTCCATACCCTTACGGCGATACCAGTACCATCGTAGTTTGGATACTAACTATATCTAGTTGTCAGGTATTTAGGGTACGCAATCTAGATATTATACAGATCTAAGTAGAAATCTACAAATGCTGTGAAATAATCTCTCAAGAATGATCGACTCCTTTAGCTGCAGCTTTGCTCAATTTATTTGTATTCCCTGCTCCGATGCATTGAATGGTCTACGCTGATAGGGCCTTGTCAAGCCTCCGCTTATTTGGGGAACGTGGTCGGGCTTTGGTCAGCCTGCCGCGTGACAGAATTTGACTTTGGGTGAGGCACCCAAGGCCGGAGTTGGACTTTGTTCAAAAAGGGAACAAAGAAGAGAAAGATAATCAGGGATGAATGGAAGAAGAAGATCAGAAGAGGTGAAGAAAATGATCAAGCTATCAATGTATCTAGATAGTATTATAATTAGTCGTTGGTTAGTGTACAGTAAGTTGAGCAAAACCAGTAATATTAATCTCTCGGTATGCTGGTTTTCTTGTGGACGGACGGACCCCCTCGGGATCAAAATTACGCATATGGTAAGGTCTCGTCCTGACGGGCTCGCGTAACTTAACCGCCACCGTCTCGGTCTTGTCTTGTCCCCGTTTTGTCTCGTCTTGTTTCCTTCCCAGGCCCGGTCAAACACTCTCTCTTCCTTTTCACTCTCGCTCCCCCGAGTCCTCGCTGCCTCGTTCCTCATCTTTTGCTTTCCCCACGAAACGTCCAACCAAACCCCCATCTCCATCCCCTGCAGTGGCCCTTCTCATCTCTTTTTCTAGTCGATTTTCTCCGGCCAATCCATCCACCATCGATTTCTTCAACCCTTTCGTCGTGAACATGGGTCGGACCGTCGACCAGGAAGTTCACGCGGCGTTCGTCGAGTTCCGCGCCAAGGAAGACGATAAGGTGCGTGACTCCTGTATTTCCCGTAATATTTCAACCCGCCGCCCAACACCAGCGTCACTGACATGACGAACCTGGCTTGTTTGCTTTCCACAGTGTCTTTCCGTCCAGTGTATCTACTGCCAGCAGATTCGCGCAAAGAACACCTCACGCCAGAAGCAGCACCTGCTCGAGTGTCCCGGTCTCCGCGGCCACACCAACCCCCAGGCCCAGTCCCAGTCCGCCCCCTCTGCCCCGAATGGCATCGCCGCTGCCAATGGATACCCTCCCACCCCCAATGGTGCTGCGGCCACCGCGCCGGGTGCTGCTCCTGGGCCCGGTGCTCTCGCGACTCCCAACGGTCCCATGATGTCCAACGGTGTCAATCCTCATGCTACCCCGATGCAGACGCCATTGCAGAACATGCAGAGTCGCGCCTCTCTCCCGACATCAGGCCCGGCCGGAACCGCCTCCACCGTCTCTGCTACCCAGCAGGCAGCTCGTGCCACTCCCAAAGCGAAGCCTAAGAACTCGACCTCGAACCTTCCTGCCCCGCCCCTCGATGACGTTCATGCCGCGTTCGTGGAGTTCCGTGCCAAAGAAGAAGACAAGGTGAGCGAGGACATGGCCCGCGTGTTGCCCGATAGAACCCTATGTCTGACAGGAGACCCCCACCAGTGTCTGTCCGTTCAATGCATCTATTGCCAGCAGGTCCGCGCAAAGAATACCAGCCGTCAACGTCAGCACCTGTTGGAATGCCCCACCTACCTCAGTGTCATGAAAGATTCGATCCCCGCAAACAACCTTCTTCATACCTTCCCCGAAGGCGACGTGGCGCGTTCCCTGCAGATCCCCGCGCCTACCCTGGAGCTGGACTTCCGCATGAGCATTAAGATGAACCCGAAGGTGTCGGTAGGTGAGAGTATTTGGGGTCAACGTGATTGGGTAACATTCGTCGGTGGTCAGTGGGCTGGTCGATGGGGTAAGGGTGTCGTTCTGGTAAGTCGTGACGCGCAATTGGTTGCTTGCTATAATTAGCAACATGCTCACCGTGCATATAGCCTGGCGGACAAGACTCGCAGGTCGTCACCAAGGAATCTTCTACACATCTCCGAGCGAGCTACATGCTCCAGACCGCCGACGATCCCCCCGCATACATTGTCGTGAAGACCAACGGCTGGTTGACCGGAGCCAAGGATATTCTGGACAAGGTCAACGACCCGGGTATGGCGGATAGCATCAACCCCAATACATACAAATACCGCATCAACTTGAACATGGAAACTGGAGACGAACGTTACGCGTTTTTGAACACTCTGATGTGGATTGGAAGTGGCTGCCGCAGGGGCCACGAAGGTCAGTGCTGACCCCATCCCATCACCCGGGCTTGATTCACTTTACTAATACCTCTGCAGTCATCTTTGATGCATTCCGCGTCAACTAATCTGCCACGATATTGCAGCTGTTTTGTCCGTTATTAAGCGAGTAGCAATTGTTGATTTCATGGGGGAAAATCGTTGTCTTGGTTGATTTTTTTTCTCCTTCCTTTCCACCTTTTGATTGGGCTTTGATCCTCTCTTCTGAAGTGTGGCTTGTGTATTTATCTCTTCGATCCATCCGCGTGGGTTTACCCTACCCATTTCTTGGGGGAATGCCTGCCTACCTACCTACCTACCTGCCATTACTTCCATTTACCTTCACGAGTCCGCTTGATGCGTTCGTTCGAGGAAAGTTCTCCTTCGAATGTCCTATTATGACTTGTCTTTGGGTTTCTTCTACCTCTTCCTTTTTTCTTTTATCCCATTTCCACTTTGAGCTGTCCACTTTTGTAACTGGTATCCGTTTGACTTTCATTTCCTCCGTGTTTCTTTTTACTATTTACATCTCCTAGGAAGCAAGATTGTCATCATGAAGTTTCTCCTTCAAAACCCCGGTTTGTTTCTTTTCCTTATCATTCTACCTGTCGAGTACATTCGACACCCACACTCCCCCTCATCACAACCCTAATTACGTTGAGCCAAAGCGTTGAGTATACACGCTCGCATCTTGTACCTCTATCTTATTTTCCAGAATGGATATTGAATTGCCAGTTTTGATACCTGATAGATCTAGTACGTAATTAGCAGTAAAACAGCTAGCTACCAACTACCTAATGAGACCATAAAAAACCCCTACAGGATAAAGATCAATCGATGTTGAAACCACGAAGTGTAGTTGGGAGGTAGGTATATGCGTCCCCAATGATGCTAGCCTGGCCTACTGTAGTATTATTCCCAAACCCCCCTCAAAATTAGCTACAAAGCAATAGTACATGTCCGGCAAATCCTCGATATAATACGTGATATGGTTTGTATAGACCAGTTTTTTACCAGCAAGTATCAATGAAGTATAGTATCTGAAGAAAAAGATAGATTACTTAGTTTACTTACTTTACTTTACCGAGCCAAGCCAAGCCTAGCCTACCCCAGGTGAGGGGTATCATAACCAACCAAACCATACTTAGTATTGATGTTATACTTATGGAACTAAAACCACCAATTAGAACGTAGTAATTATTAAATAACCTGGCAAGATATACACTTGTTACTATGGTATTATAGCTAGCACTATCGACCTGTATCTAAGCACCATTCATGATATTTACCAACCACAAGGAGTTCTTATCCCTGATGCATTCATCCTGTAGTGCAAGTAAGTATTTATTGTGAGATTGGGTCGATCTATAGGTTGAATATTGATAAGGTAGTAAGTAAGGATGGTATGGGAAAGGGTTGTGAAGAGGAGGAGGGTGATGAGGGATCATTAAGCTTAATGGCGGTGGTAATATTGCTATGAGGTATGGATAACATGGTGAAGATGGATTTGGAATGTGTATGTTATGTTGGACGCTTGGGGGATATGGAGTGACAATGATGGTAATGTTAGGCGGCAATCATTGGGTTATGATGTATTGTTTCTGCTCTTGCTGTCTGGATATTGGCTGTGTAAATGATTTAAATAGTAACAGATTGGAGACAAAAATAGCGAAAGTCCCCTCGTCGTAGGCACTGATATTTCGTAAATTAAGGAGTAGTATGATGATATAGCCTGTTGAGGTATATTTAACATTGTAGCATAGAATCAACAGTTAGTTATGAAGGTTATCCTCTTCTCCGTCTGTAATAAGAAGGAAACACAAGTATATCGACTCCCGCATCTCCACCAGCTTGAACCAGCGGCGTAAAGGCCTCTTTGGCAGATGAGCTTGCATGAAGATTCCTCGAATACGTCTGAATTTCCACTTCCTCAAGATAGGGAAACATCTCCCTCCGACAAGCCACCACCTCCAACAGATTGGACATGACTTGATCCGTTTGAGAGGATTCGAAATGTGTCATACGAAGGCATTTCAAACTAGGCGGCAAGATCTCTTTAAGCGACGATAGTTTTGGTCGGTCATCACTCAAGTGGAAATTAAGCAGGGTGGCGACGGGAATCCGGAGATCCCATAGCTTAGTGAAATCCGCCATTGACCCAAACCAGTCGATTGGAGGCGGATCACCATCTTCCACATCCTCGTCAAATCCGGATTGCATCGTCTCCCCTCGGTCGTTCAGATGAAGGACCTGCAAGCTGTGCTTTTGCGTACAAAGCGCAGAATAGAATGCCCGAGGACGGAAATTCATATATCGTTCTCCCCATATCACCTGATTCGAGTGTTGGTATTTAAATTTTTCGAGATTCGCACACGATGTGATAAAGTCCGCCATGCCTTTGCTGCCATTGGGGTTTACACCAAATTCTAGCTCAACAATTGGAGAGGTCCCCTTAGCAGGCTTAAAAGCTGGGTGATCAATTTGAGTAACCATTGACTCAACCACGGAATCCAGGCTCAAAGACCGCACGGACGGGAGGTGGAAGAAAGGGAGAAACTTGTTATTGGGATACCATGCTTTGTTATCGTCCGAGGAGTCAATCCCGACGTCTTCCAAGTGCTGTAGAATTGGCATCGTGTCAAATGGCTTCTCGCGCATTGCGGCACGTGAGAGAACTCGATTGAGAAATTTGACTCCCCATGTATAGTGCATTAACAAGCTGGTCATGTTCTCCATGGTCAAGAGTAGCAGGCCAAGCCATGCATCTTGATTGCCCTCTACCAAAGCTTCCTCCCATTCTTTGGTTTCTTCCTCTGATTGGCTGATCCGATTCACCCAAGGTAGAACAGAAGTGATATCGTGATTCTGCTTCTTCCTTGTATAGGAGGACCACCAATGCAACCTGAAATATTTGATGGAAGATCCTATCGCGGGGTTCTCCTGGATGGCCAGGAGAAGAGGGCGAATCTGAGATCCCTCAATCCAAACATAGTCGTAGACTGCCTTGAAGAGGACGGACCGCCAACGGCGACAAACCAGGAGGAACTGGTATTTATGTTTGAACAAGACGATATTGTCAACAATAAGAAGGAGGATCTCGTCCGGAAGGCGATCCATCTTGTCAGCCAAGGCAAATTAAGGAGATGAACAAGTCGGCATCAGGCGGGTAAGGATTTTTTTTGCTTCTGTCTGGACCCCATTTTAGCGCGAAGGTTGAACCAGACGGAAGTGGTTGAAGCTAAGCCAACTGGGGTGGGCTCAGGATGAGGACGGGGGCGAAGAGGGATTGATAAACGGAGAAAGAGTAAAAAAGAGAGCGAAGCGAGTCAGTTCAAACGAACCCAACAACAAGAAGATGTATAGAAACCCATCCCAAAGAAGGGAAAGTACCTTGAAATGGTAATTACCCTGAGAGGTAACGGGTGTTTCTGATACGCAGTATACTTTTCTGGTCCGCATCTATACTGATTGATTACTGTTGTTTCCAGCCAGATAGTTATTACGCGGATTAATACCGCCCTTATGCCCGTACTTTTTGCCAGGACCCTGTATTTTATGCTAAGCGGTTCGGTTTCTCCCAGATGATCCACTCCGGAAGGAAAACTTACCAACTAAGCGACATAACGTACATACCAAAGAACGCCGCGGGCATTTCTCCGGTTTCTTTCCACATTGTTGTGCCAGCACAGCATCTTGAAGATGGCGCAGGATTTTTTTTCTTCCTTTCCCTGAGGAATTACAGCAATCCCTTGCTGCTCTTCAAGGAACTGTTTATTGGTAGGGAATGACTAGCCCGGATCGCAGTGGGGCTGATAACATCAATGTAGCAAACAAGCCTTTCTTAACCGAACCATGGACACATCCATACTAGAATACCCTGGGAGAGGGAAAAGAACAGGTGTTGGCACGTGTTGGTATTACTTACGCTCATTCCGAGTGGTACAGACTTTATTTACTACTAGTTATTAGATCGCAGGAGTTCGTCCTGAGTAACCGATTGGTTAACAACCAACCCGTGTTCTTTCCGCAGGGCTGCATATGATGTATCGCTGCCCGGCAGTTTCATCCGCAACTAAACTGCTTTACAGATCGAATTTACTAATGTAAAACGACACACACGCTTTGTCACAAGTTCGATACGATGTGACCAGATCTGAAACGGCTCTGTTACTTTCTTGAATCATAAGACATGACACATAGTCAAATGACGTTCGGTCAGAGACGTCGGGGCGTATCGTAAATACAACCTGAGAGCATAAGCCGATACAATCAGTAGGCAGTATACTTCTGTGGGTTAAGTATAGGTCAAAGCTGATTCTTGTCTACATTACTACATTCAGGACTAATGTCACCATCAAATATCTACAATATTATCATGCCTCATTCAGAAGCCTATGTAATCAGTTAGTAAATGGTGTTGACGCCACTGAATCGTCGAAACGTACCTTTCTCAGTGTTCCCCTCACCCATACTCTTACTGCTGCTGCTGCCACTTTGGATAGCTCCGAGAATGCCATCCAGGTACGGAGCACCGCTCCATTTCTGGTGGGTCAGCACATCCACGCCCAGTTCTTTCTCGCGGGCCTGGACCATCCGGACATAGGCGAGCATGCCTTCATCCTTGAACGCGCGCGAGAGTTCCGTCGTGATGGTTGCGTTGGTGTGCAATCCGGCAAGGGAGATCAATTGCAGAACAAATCTATGTTGGTCAGCTACTGTCAACTTCGTGTTCAATGAGCATTCACGTACCCATGTTGCGCTAGATCCCAGATGAAGGACTTCAAAGAAGCTTCATCAAAGCCTTGACCCATCCAGTTAAATGACGGGCTCAGGTTGTAAACCAGCTTCTTGCCAGGGTGCGCAGCGCGCACGTCACCTGCCAGCTTACCAGCCTTGGCAACATCCGGATCACCCGTCTCGACCCAAAGAAGATCCGAGTAAGGTGCGAACTCCTTGGCCCGCTTGGTGGCAGCCGCGAACCCAGCACGGTAATGGTAGAATCCTTCCCGGGTGCGGGGGGTGTCGCAGGACCAAACCACCGGTGTCTGGGAATAGTCGTCTGCCAGTGCCCTACGACGAGAGATAGAAAGGTCGGGGTTCTCTTGGACACGCTTCTTGTATGCGTCGCGAGCGGACTGAGGCGCACCCTCTGCTTCAAGGTGTGCATCGACAGCTAAAGAAATCGCGATTAGTCAAGCCACAAACGGAGGTACCAAAGACCCATACCCTCATCAAAAGTGACAAGCTTGTGTCTCTTAACCCAGTCCATCTCGTACGCATCGATTTCAGAAGGAGCAGCTCCCTCTCGCTCCATGGCCTGCAAGGTCTCTGCGAGAGGTTCTACATTCTCCGTAACACCGAGGAGGAACTCGTGGTCGCGCACATCGATAGCACTGCTGATCAAACGACCGCTCTCCGAGTCCGTACGAGCAATAACCAGGTTCTCTGTTCCCATCATATCCCACTGGAAACGTGCAGCGACAAGCCTGTTGATGTGGTCTCCGATAGGCACAAGGACTTTGCCAGCCAAGTGACCGCATTTCTTACCGCCATGAAGCTGGTCCTCGAAATGAACAGCTGCCGCGCCATTCTCTGCAAAAAGCTTAGCCAGCTTCAACACGGCGGACAGCCCTCCGTGTCTAGATACATCAGCCAATCAGTCCTCAAACCCTATATGATAGGACATACCCTGTATCTCCGTCTGCAACAATTGGGCGTAGGTAGTCAACGTAGGGTGTATCCTTCCGTTGTTCGGGCGTGAGCTTCCGTCTAGCATCCCATTGCTTCCGATCGTGCAGCTGCTGGGCCTTGAACAAGCGCTGGACCTGGTTTGGAACGGTATTGTAAGGATAGTCACCAAAGTCGGGAGACACCTCGTTGGTAGTAGTCAACAGAGAGGAGCATGCCCAGCCAGAAATGTACAAAACCTCCTGGTTGGGCGCCTGCTGGGTCATCTGTACAGGGTCAATGGCACCCACTGCGGGGAGTTAGCATATGCAAAAAGCCAAGATCGGAAAAGGTCCAATTAATAACATACTGGTGTGAACTGGCTTCCCCTCAGCTGCTCGCTCATTTAGCAAATTAAAAAGCTTCCTTGCCATCAACGAGCTCGGATAGGTCTGCTGCAAAGAGCCCCGTTTGCAAACGACATCCGCGGCCGAATAAGGCCGCTTGATACCCTCGAACCGCGGTGACGCCCACCAAGCTTCCACATCTTTAATTTGTTGCTCATACAAGGCATCTTCAGCAGCACCAGCCTTGTCAGCCGTCGACAGAAGTTGGTATGAATCGCCCGGCAGTGCGGATGACACGAGGGGTTCAACGGGGGGCAACGTTGGTGCCGACATCCGCGGATAACCGCATGTGAACGAGCGCAAGGCAAGGCGAGATGGACTGCCGGCAGTCGAAGTGAGAGAAGGGATACGTCGAGGAATTCGACGAGGAACTGATCGAAGCATCGTCAAAAACTCAAGCAAGAACGGATAGCGAACGGCCTGACATTGAAGGGAAAGGGAGGAATGAGGAGGGATGGGGTGTCTGATGTTTGGGGGACACGGTCCGTTTCTCGGTCGGCCGATCACCAGCCTAACCTCGGTCTGGGGGCGGCAATCCCCCCCGCTTATCCGCGGTCGGCATGGCGCCTTGTGTGGCTCCACAGGTGGCTGGGATAACGGTGAGGTTAAGCTATCCGTGCACTCCGTTCTCGGTGGATTCTAAGATCGAGATAGGATAGAAGTATGGACTCGCAACCACTTCGTACAGGGTCTGATTATCATAGCTGCGTGCCGTTATTCTATCTACCTGACATACATCACCCGCATGGCAGCAAATATTATCACATCGAGGCATACCCCAGCCCATGGCCACATAGATGTCTAGTAGGATCACAATGCTCGAAGCCCTCTCTCATATGCATCCCTCAGCATTTGGAAAGAAATCTCGGCAACAGGATCTGTACGGCCCGTAATTGTCACCAGAGTACGAAAGTCTCTATCTGCAATGATTTTGCACATCTTCTTATGTTCTTTCTCTTCCCATCCGGCTTTCTGGCAATCCTGTAACGATGGAACATAAGCATAAGGATTCATCTCTGGGCCCTATGTCAACGCTCCAAATGAAGAAAACCTTATACTGCTCACCTTATCACAATACGTAACCACACCACACTTTGCACATCTCAAAAGAGGCTTATCCTTCTTCCCACAGCCATGACACTTCTTGTGTGTGGCAAACCTCGCCGGCCAACACCTCATCTCGTCGCTCAGCTGGAAGAGCACTTTCATATTGCCAGGGAAAAACTAGTAGGTTGAGGTCACCGGTTAGTACGTAGTGCACTTGAAATCACTTTGCAGTGCACTCATAACTATACCTTGAAATATCCATAGTGCTCCTGCCGAACACCCACAGTACCATCGAGAAAGAGATGACGCCTAGGAAACAAGATAGCCATAGTATTTCCGGGCTTCAATTTTGGATCATTCTCGATGGATCTGCCTCGATCACCCGTGTAAAAGGCCACAGTGACAGGTGAGTCGGCCCTATCGAACGTTCTCAGCACAAGTCGCGTGATCCGTTCGATACTGACGATCTCCACGAGTAGACATCCGAAAACACCGCCGCCAGTTTCAGGACAGGTATAGTCTCCAGGAAGATCCGAAATGGAGGGAAATACGCTTTGGTCTGCGAGGGAGGCGTAGCTACGCGGCATCTTTGTGGGAAGTTGCGACGGTGTGTAGGCCGGTATTTAGTTAGGTGGATCAAGGATGGTAGGAAGAGAAGGGGTAAATGAGTAGATGGCCCTTCTAGCATACAGATGCTGAGAAGGATTTCCTGGTCTGTGAGGAGAGTCGAGGTTGGGGTTTGACGCGATAGTAAACATGCTCGATCCACCCCGACGCGTTGCTTTTCGAGTGAATGATATTTTTTTCTGAAGACATTACCAATACCTGAGGACGGATTTCTCGACCCTGACTAGTATACCATCTGTCGACAGTGTAAACATCATACTTACTAGAAGTCGTAGCTTGCCACAGTTAAAATGTTAAACTGTTTCTTTTTGTCACTATCCCAAAGATGAAAGTGAAGTGGATAAGGCTCATCTAGTGTAAAAATCACGGACAATCATAGAGAGTTCCAGGATACTCCCATAGAAGCGATATATTACACGATCCAGCATGTAACCCTTGAAAAGGATAACACAACTGACACATGGTTCTCTTGACATTTTTTTATGTGCGTCCGAAGAACGAGTAATAGTCTCGCAACAGAGGGAGTATATTAACGGCCTTCACTCACGTCTATCCTCCGATACGCATAGTATGCTGCCATAATGCTGATGAGAGTCTCGTAACCCAGATTCGTCTCTATAGCCGCTACTTTCCACACATGGGAAGCTCTATTTCGTGAGTGATAGGTGGGCAGCTGATCATCAGAGAAAGCTCGCGACCTAATCCGAGCTTCATATCCAACAAAACGAAAATTCCAAGGAAAATGACAATGCAAAGAGGGGATGGGACGAAATCGCCCTCCTTGAAAGATAGGATACTTGTGCAGTAATCTGAGTTGTCCCGTTCTTAGTTCGTCATATTATGCTAGTGATCCGCTTTCCCATAGGTCAGACTCACTGCTTTCATGCAGGTCGTAACTACGAACAGCGCCCTAATCTGCCAGCAGGGCAACCTTAAACGCGAGGAAAAGTGGAACTTGGTGACAACTCTGAACTGACAGAATTACAGGGGTCTTGATAAGACCGAATATCGCCGGTAGGTAGTACAACCTTCTCACTACAGGAACAGACCTTGTAGACTGCCTTGACACACGCAAGGTAGCTTTATGCATCCAGTTGATCGTCAGTTTGATCGAAAAGCCCTGCTACGTACCCACGATAATCCTACGGCATATTCGAGTAAACCAAGATCTAGACTCTTCTAAGCACTTGTGATAATGCAAGGCTCATCAGCTATAGCAAATATAGCCCACGTAAGGAACGGCAATCCTCAAACCCTCAGTTATCGTAGCGGTGAGACGCAACGGCCCGCCAAGAAGAGGCTATTGGCACCGGGCCGTTAAACCAATAGCAAACAAGCGAGATTCAAATCCGGGTGGCGCTCTCCACTAGACCTTTATCAGACAAGGCGCTCGGATCTATGATCAGTGGAATCGCCGACGGCTCTTTTTTGATATAGCAGTTAGTTCCTGGCCCTGAAGTGGGTCTCCATCATGAATAGGGCATCCTAATACTATCCCTTGCACCGTCGTGCCCCATCACTCGGATAGATGATTGTGATTTGATCTCCGAGAGACGGTGTCTCGTACACGTGATATAGTTGATTACTAGTGTGCCTAACAAATTGTTCAGCTGAAACTAGTCGCGTAGCTTCAGCAGAGGGTCACACACATGCAGTTGGTCTCCATCAAATTGGAGTAAGTGGTGAGTTATTTAGTAAACCGCGTCGTGGGATGTGGATCAAGGGCGGCGGAACACTTCATAGATCCGAATTTGTTATCTCTATGTGTGTATCTGGCGGCTCTGTTGCACAGAAAGCAAAGTCAACATGCAGTTGTAGAACATGGTCAACCCAGAAACCAGATGACGAGAAGATCGAGGGCGAATCCGCGCGAAGGGATAGGGCTGGTTAGTGCTGGTTGGTTTCAGAGTCATGGGGCCTCAAGGCCGGTCCTGGGTTGACCCCACCATCTTCGAACTATCCTAATTGGAAGGCTCACCGAGGAAGAAATGGGTCGAAAGTATTCGATGATACCATCTGGAGACCAATAGGTTTGTTGCGGCCAGCCTCATCCCACTTGTTTGATACGTGGTAATGAGCTTTCTTTGTGTGATCCAGTCAGCGCGTTGTTTCCGGAGTCCGAGCATTCTGTACCAGCCAAAATGGCTTAGATTATGAGAGACAAACCAGGTTTTGATAGACCATTCTTTGTTGTATATCCCACAGTGGCGCTTGGAGGATAACCTGGTACATAACCATGCTAGGCCATGGCATATGGTCTAAAACTTAATGTAGGCGCTGAGATGCCAGCCTTGAATTATCTCGAAGTGTTTCTTGTCGATGTGGGATATGGTTCGTCGGTCTTGCGGTTGAATCGGTTATGCCGGGGAACGTTCTTCCATCTGTGATCCAGTAGATCTGTTCTGAACTGATTTCGAAACGCCAATCGGAGGAGCACGCTAATGCACCATGGATAAGAGCAAGCACGCGGCCCTCGAACACTACCCACGATGGAAATTGTCGTCCATATACATAGGTGGGGTGCTATTATCGCTTTGATCCTAGAAGATGTTGTAACTTGATATACTATATTGAGACAGTTGCATATTCGACTTTGCAGATCTCAAAGCATCGGGAGTTGCAGGTATTGGTCGAGTCACTGAGGTGTTGGTCATGAGTTCGTTGCAGAGAAGCTGAACCAGGATAGTAGCTGATATGTTGGGAGTCAGGAGGTTTCCAGTTTTGACTTCACCATGCCTTCCGTTGTTGCTGCAAGGAGCCACGCGAGGAACGTACTAAGTCTGCAATCTCGTTGAGCTAACAAACTTGCAGGAAATTGCCGTGGGGGTGTGGAATATTCACTCTCCAAAATGGACAACCCGGTGCCCAAATCTGGTCGTCATTCACCCTCCGGTTCAGGGCTCTCATTTGAGTTATGGAGCCCAAATGTGCATAGGCAAGCGTTGTGTATCAGAACCACGTCTCCTATCGAACCTTGTGGCTGCATGCGTCTTCCACGAGACCCAAGCTTGAGCTGATACATTTGTACCTACATAAGGAAGGCTGTCTCGCACCTTGAGAGCCGTACCCCTAGCTCTTACATACCGAATGCTGGAAGCTAGCCATGTGTGGACTTACAGCTTTTCTTGCCCTCCAAGGGAGGTCTGACTGGCAGCATGACGAGTTTACCTGCACTGGAGATTTGGAACAGAAAGTCAACGATAGTCTGGACTTGATTAGACACCGAGGACCTGACGCTCGAGGCCAATGGCTTAGCTCGGACTGTCAAGTTGGTAAGTCCACATAGCGTCGTGAAGAGTGGTATGCAATAAACTAACATGGAGACTCAAAGGGCTTGGACACGTCCGACTTTCAATCATCGACCTAAGCCCCGCCGGAAACCAGCCATTCCACGACAGCGAGGACAATATTCATGCCGTTGTGAACGGTGAGCTTTATGACTATGACCGTATCAAAGCTGAGCTATCGGGCGAATATGACTTCAAAAGTAAAAGCGATTGCGAAATTGTCATTGCACTTTACAAACATTACGGAGAGTCGTTCCTCTCGCATTTACGGGGCGAGTTCGCTCTAGTTCTATGGGATGCCAGGCGACAGCTGTTCATCGCTGCCAGGGACCGATACGGAATCAAGTCTCTCTACTATACGGTCATAGATGGCCGACTAGTGGTTGCCACTGAGATGAAATGTTTTCTGTCGTTTGGATGGAGTCCTGAATGGAACGTCGCCAATTTGAGGGAGAAAGGCTGGCTGTATGGGCCCCAGATGTACTTCAAAGACGTGAGCCGAGTGAGTGACGAAATCAGTACGACTTCTTCGTACCATGGATCACTGATCATGCAACCAGGTCGGTCCTGGCCAGTACCTCGTTAGCCAAGACTTCAATACTCCTCGGGTGAAATCGTACTGGGATCTTGACTACCCCGATAAAGTGAGCATGCTGCGCTAGATGCTAAATTAATACTGACTTAGACCTACACAGCATCATGTCTACCCACACTCAGAAGAAGAGATGGTGGCCAGAGTCCGGGAGCTTCTTCTAGAATCAGTGCAACATCGACTTCGTGCTGACGTGGGTGTTGGCGTATTCTTAAGTGGAGGGCTGGACTCTTCGGCCATTGCGGGTATGACGGCACATATTATTCGACAAGGCCAGAGCCTGGGAAACGATGCAAGCGGAAATCTCTCCAATCTAAGCTGTTTTACGGTTCAATTCGAAAAGAGCAGTGGCTTGGATGAATCAGGTACTTGTCACTGGCCCTCCATGGTTCCACAATCCACTTACCAGTTCCAGATGTCGCCCGGAGAACGGCAGAATGGCTAGGGGTTGATTTCCATCCAGTCATTATGGACGAAGATGCCATTGCTTCCAGACTAGAAGATACAGTGTGGCATACAGAGACGCCCATACCCGACGTGAATGGAATGGGCCGCTTAGCCCTCGCAGAGGCCGCCCATGCAGCAGGCAAAAGAGTCGTGCTCACCGGCGAGGGATCCGACGAGCACTTTGCTGGCTACGCGGACTTCATATGGCGTTACATACTGGAACCAGACCATTCATGGGCCTCGTCGGACACCATGGCCGAGCTACCGGAGGCACGGAAGGTCGCCCATGCGTTAATCGCCAAAGGCTTTCTAGGCGCACTTCCCCCTCCTTCTGATGCAGAGGCTTCTCGAACTCTCAACGACAGTTCCGTATTCCCCAGATTCAACGCATTATTCCAGCCACGCTTCCAAAAGTGGGTCTACAAAGACAGTCACAATCGCCCCGAGTTGTTATTCGCCAGAAGCTTCAGTGATAAGGTCCTCGCAGACGTGGCCACAAAGTGGCATCCGTTGCATTCAACAGGATACCAATGGACCAAAAGTATATTGGCCAACTATATTCTCCGGTACCTAGGGGACAACATCGACATGGTGTACCAGATTGAGTCGCGACCGCCGTTCCTTGACCATCACCTCACCGAATATGTGAACGGGATTCCACCTAGTCTGAAAATCAAATACTGCTCTGCGACAAAGACCTTTCGTGAGAAGCATATTCTGCGCGAGGCAATGAAGCCTTTCGTTACCGAGGAGGTCTATAACCGCACTAAGCAACCTTATGTCGGTCCAACCAAGTACAGAAAGAATGGGCCGGTGTATAGGATCCTCGAGACGTTAGTGACAGAGGCCAATGTCAGAGCTCTGGGGTTCTTGGAGTGGCGTGGGGTACAGGAGGATTTCGTGAGAGCCTTTCGCGATCATGATACGCTGTCGTTCAAAAATACACTATCGGTGGCTCAGATGGTCGTTCTTGGGAAGCGGTTCGGGGTGAAGACGGCGGAAGATCCTCAGAGAGAGGTGGTGGCGTATGAAGGGACGGAGAATGCGATGCTTAGGAGTCGGTTGTAAGATATGCTGTGCTGAGACCTAGATGATTAGCACAGCGAATGCAGTGGCCTGAAGCATTGTTCAGCTAGTTATGGCGCCTTGGAGAACCCATCAGTATCAGCCTTTGTGCGTGGCAGTCGGAGCCGGAATCGGATAGTGAAAACGGCAGTCTTATGGCACCACTTCATGTAGAATAGTGAGATCGATTTGAACCCTTCACCTACAAGTCCTCTTCATCAGGAATTGAAGGCTTAGGTCATCATCTGCAAGGGGTGACTAGATTGATTTGCTGTGTGAATGTACTATAATCTCACCGAAGCTTCGAAGATGAGCGGTAGGATCTATCATTAGCTTACTCCCCAGGAAACACCAAGCATGGAGCATCCACCCACATCATCTAATCATTCTATTCAACACTAAACGCCATCAATCCCCCCTCTCCACCGCCCATCAAGCAAACCCATTCGCCTTATTAAACTCATCAACCACCTCCCTCGTCGCCTTCACGATCTCCAAACACCCAGGCGAATCCGAATGACAACAAATGGTAACGGGATAATCCTTAACCCCCATCTGCACCACCGACCCATCAACAGCCGTGGCCGACGAATCCTCCACCTGCTGTCTCACATGCGCCTTGACATCCTCAATCTTCCACGGCTTCTTCTTCCGATCAATCACCAGCATGCCATCCGGCCCGTACTTGACGTCTCCGAACAGCTCCGCCCAGAACGGCACCCCCAGCTCCTTCGCCGCCTGCTCCATGTATGTTCCTCCGAGTCCCACGACCGGTACCCCAGGTGGTATTCCCTTTATGACGGCCCGCGCGACTTCCAGGTCGCGACACATCATGCCGTAGAGCACGCCGTGCGGCTTGACGTGGTGGAGGGGGATGTTTTCGCGCGCTAGGAAGCCTTGTAACGCCCCGACTTGGTAGATGACATTGGCGGTGTGTTCTTCCGGGCTGAGCTTCATTTCGCGTCGGCCGAAGCCTTGCACGTCGGGGAGGCCGGGGTGGGCGCCGATCGATATGTTGTGCTTTTTGCACAGAGAGACGGTTTCTTGCATTATTAGGGGGTCACCGGCACTATAGTAAAGAAGAGAGGGTTAGGTTTGGGGTGATTGTTTGGGGTTATGAGAAATTGCTGCTTACTGGAATCCACAGGCTACGTTGGCCTGGTCGATGAGGGGGATGAGTTCTTCGTCCGGGCCGCATCTGAAGTTCCCGTAGCCTTCGCCGAGGTCGACGTTGATGAAGACTTTGGTTCGTAGGGGAGGCATGGTGGTGAGATATGTGGTTTAGGGGTACCCTGTATGTGTGAAGTGGGTGACGATATATGGGATGGTTGTAGGATTAACTGTTAAGCTGTTGGAATACGTTCATGGTTGGTTCCATGGTCCTGGGAAGTGGGGTTGTTGGAGGCGGGGAACTGCCTACCGTAGTGTTGCGCTGCATTGGCTGCATTGTGCCTAAATTTTGGGCATCATCACGTATGCCGCATAAAATTGACTTCAGTGGCAACCTGGCAACTTTATCGATGCCTTGGAGATCCCCCAAAACCAATGTCTTGGAGGGATTACAACGACCCACTTGCGAGGGGTTCGCTGTGTCCGTCCAAAATAGCGTGCGGAGTAGGGATCCATTATCCCCTCATCTTCCCGGCGCCTTATCTCTCCCTCCCTTGCTCCCGCTCTCGGTTTCAGATCAATGCCGAAATCGGTCAATAAGAACCCAACACCCAGGTGACATCAACCCATCAAAAGCTCGACTTTTCAAACTAGGTTCTCCTATGACGGCCCCCACGCCAAAGGACCCCAATGTAGCCTTATGTTGATACAACCCAGATTGTCAGGAGCGTACAAAGGATACTCGTGAAACACGTTCCGCACAACTGGGCACGCATAATTCCAAATACTTACTGCGAGCATGCCGTTATCCCGTCCGGATTGCTATTTTCCAAAGCAGGGAAAGCTTAGGTGTTGCACCTGATGCTAGCTGTACGACTGGGCCTTGCACACAATGCCGGGATGCATTCGGTTGCCGACCAGACAGAGAGCCATTCGAGTGACGTTGAATGTCCCGGGGATTGGAACAAACACGAGGCCAGCAGTCATCCTGGAGACCAGCTTGACTCTTACTCGTGGATCTATCCGAGGGCGGAAGACATTGTCTAACATCTGGGAACAGGCGACAACCTTGTATAATAAGTCTAGACCATGGCATTGTAGTTGCATTCCTGGCAAATGGACAGACTATCGGGTCGACTGACCACATGCCCTCCTTGGAGTTCCGCCATGCTGATCGGAGCATTTCATTGCAGATGGCACTTTGCTAGAGATGGGCAGATTTTGAGACAAGTTTTGATTGAAAGTCCGGTGCTGTTGATTGCTTGTCCTACCCATTGTGGAGCGGTCAACCGTTATCCAGGAATGGAATGTTTAGGATGGTGTGGGACCTAGATAGGATGGACGGACGGTAAGTCAAGTAGTAGAGGGAAGTTTGGAGCCTGTTGCCTACTGGGAGATGTCTGTACAATCGTAGTATCTTCTGCTTTGTGCTTCGGTGGCTGTGAAGTCGAGGATAAGCCGGCAGGTGACAAGGCGAGGCGGTCGAATAGGAACGCGGGGATTACCTCCCTCCACCACCCACCAACTGCAATCATCTGCTGTCGCCCACACCGGCTGAACCTCTCCGATCCCTCTCAACTTCATCCTGCTCCCTGGTGGCGTCTGTCATCCTATCCCCGCCTCGCAGCGTTGTTTCAACATCGTCTGTGGTGTCCCCTGTGTTCAGTAACCCCTTCTTGAGCAACTGCTCCCATCTTTGTGTTTTTATCTTGAATTAAAAAAAAATGCACTCACTGGTCGACGGGCATTTCGCCCTCGCAAGCCGTGGCGTTTGTCTCTTCCCCTCCCGCCTCCATCCATTATCATCGAAACCTGCATGAAAGGGAGTGTTCTAGCTCCAATCGCCATGCTTCCAATGGAGACCCGGCTCTTGTCTGAGCTCCTACCTCGGATCGACGAATCCGCGTCGCACAACTTGCACCAGCTGTCTCCGCAATCTGCTGCTCTAGTGCAACTCTTATCACCTGGAGGTCCCTCTCTCTCCTCACCGTCTGGGGCCGTCTCGGGGCGTTGAGTTATCTATCGCACATCCACGCTTTCCCTATCTTTTCTGTTTCCCCTGCCATCGGACAGTCAAAACAGCCTTATCTGCTTTCGAAGTCTCCACGAAAGCTGCTCGGTTGCTCTCCCCTCTTCCCTTCCCACCACCTAGTTGACGAGGTGAACCCCCTCTCTCTTTCCTCGGACAACTATCTTCCTTCTCCTCATACTCTTTATGACACGTTCCATCCGGAATCGGTTTATGTCATCGTCACATCAGATACCGATATGGAAGACATCAACATCCCTTCCCCATCTGCTATTCTAGACGTTCAACGTCCCTCCGCATCGGCTGCCGGGCATTCCAACCAGTCTGTCTCTCCCAAGAACTCGACTGCAGGCCAGCGAGGTGCTGCCAAAGATCGTAGCAAGCCGAAGCAGACCAAGAGCCGTAACGGTACGGTATAATTACTTTTTCTACTAGTTTTAGCGCGATGGGCATGGAGGGCGACAGATGTGTTAAACTAAGAGCACAAGAGGCATGAGCAGAGTGACAAGGGCACAGACGCTCCAAAAGTCGCAGCGCGCTGACGTCTTATTGTTCACCTTATCCAGGCTGCCAGACTTGCAAGGACAAGCGATTGAAATGTGACGAGACGAAGCCAAGTTGTATTCAATGTAGGAAGCGAAACGTGACATGTGAAGGATACATAAAGAAATTCAAATGGCGCAACGGCTTTGGGCAGAAGAGTTTCGTTGGGGGAACGAATGGCAGTGCAAATACAAAGAAAGGTATGCCAACAGCCCCAGGCCATCTCAACTTGAGGGTGTATTGCTGACGTTCCTGTAGCTATCCAATATCAGTCTAATGAGAACCCAAGTACAGAAAATTCGGGATCCTCCATTCCACAGAACCAATCCAGCGCATCAAAGTCACAGCAAGCTGCCTCTAGCCTTCCTTGCATGGGCTCGGGGTCTTTTATGGATTTTGCTGACCTGACCTCGAAGAATGCATCTCCTTCAAAACGCACGAACAGGCGTTCATTCAGCGACAATGATTCGTTTAGCAACCCAGATGAGTTTGTTGGTCAGCTAACGCCAGTGAGCTTCAATGAAGACATTCTCGCATCGTCATTCACAGACATCTCGCCTTCAGACCAGATTTCTTGGATTTCTGATGTCTCATTGGCTGCAGTAGAGCAAAGGCCGGGGAATGGGCGCGAGCCCAAACGTGACCTTGGGCGCAACAACTCCTTTGCAGAAGAAGGTTTTAGCTTCGAAGAACTGATGGAGGTTGATGATGAGGATATCGAGGAGATAGTACGAAGGCCCGACCGAAGCATGAAGTCCGGGCGGCCGGAGAACGCCAACATGAACATTGCTCCGCACCAGGAACTATTCAACATCTGCAGGGAACCCAACCTCGGCATTGCAAGCCCAGAAATGCTGGTTTTGCAGTTTGATAGGGTGACGTGTGGAATATTGTCTGTAAAGGACGGTGTCCACGAGAATCCGTGGCGGACTTTGATCTGGCCGTTGGCTAAAGAGACACCAGCTCTGTATCATGCTGTGTTCTCGCTTGCTGCCTTCCATTCAAGCAAAGAGTTTCCAGCCTTGCGAGTTCACGGTGTGGATCACATGCGCCAGAGCATCACCCACTTGGTGCACGACATACGGAACATGAGGGTTGATGCAGCATTAGCGACGAGCCTGGCGCTTGCGTTTGCCGATACCTGGGACCAACACACTCGTACCTGCATTCAGCATCTAAAAGGTGCCAAAGCCCTAGTCTCACAAGTGGTGGGGCTCGGTGCTCAAGGCGAAATGCGTGGGATTAACCTGAGCAGGGTGCGTTTCCTTTACAATACGTGGCTGTATATGGACGTAATTGCTCGTTTGACCTCTCGTGATGAATCGGGGGATCTGGAGGTGAACGCTCCTTTTTTCCAACTCCCAAGCCACGCTGTACATGAGATTGATCCTCTGATGGGCTGCGCTACGACGCTTTTCCCTCTGATAAATCAAGTGGCTCGGTTGGTTCAACGTGTTCGCAAGACAACATCTAATTCCATCTCGCTTATTTCGCAAGCCATAGAGCTGAAAAGGCTTGTTGAGCAGTGGGAACCACCGCAATTCTTCGAGCCTCCAGAGGACCCATCTTCCGAGGTCCAGCATAGTATTCAGACAGCCCATGCTTATCGCTGGGCAACACTGTTATACCTTCACCAGGCGGTACCTGAGATGCCTTCAGAGCCGACCTCCGAGCTTGCCAAACGCGTGCTGATTTTGTTGGCTACCGTTCCTTCAAGTTCTCGAACCCTGATTATCCAGATGTTCCCTCTGTTGGCGGCAGGATCCGAAGCAGAGCAAGAGGATGATCGTCAGTGGGTGTTGAGCCGGTGGGAATCTATTCAAACCCGCCTCATGCTGGGCTCAATTGATCGCTGCATTGAGATAGTCCGCGAAGTATGGGCACGCAGGGATGCTTTCGAAGATGAGAAACAACGGTTGCGGGGATCGTCTGCGCGTGGGATCAACTCTGTCATGGAGACTTTGACGAACGATAGAGTGCCTCTCACTAGCCTTGGGTCGAATGATCAGAGGGCCCGTAGTACCTACGCCAAGGAGCCGTGGAGGAGGACGATCCAGGAGGAATGGTTGGCCTCTAAGGCTACTATTGGAAACTCGCGACGGAGCTCCGCTATCTCCCCGCTGGAGAATATTGAATTCGAAAAGACGGTTCGGGGCAAATTGCACTGGATCAACGTAATGCAGGATTGGGGATGGGAAGGTATGTGTGAGCTTTTGCTTGCTGTTTCATTGAGTCTGCTTTGCTATTCGTACTTGTGGAGAACACCAGCTCATTCATATAGTGTTCCTCGGTTAAGACCAGTACTAGTGTGTTCGACACGAGCGCATCTTCATCACCGGGCGGGGGCGGCCAGCACGATCGTTATTCTTGCTTCCTTTCCGACATGGCTGCTCTCGCTGAGTTTGTTGGTCGGAATTGCTCGAGCTGGTATTTGTCTCGGACTCTTCGGCTGGATCCTCTGTTGGAGAAGCTGGGGGCTTATTCTTAGCCAGATACGATCGGAGGGATGCCAGATAAGGCTCCAGGTCACTCGTTATGGACACAGTAGTAGCCATGGTTGCGAGGGCTGTACAATGATTGCTTGGAGATGATTGAACGATTGAAGGGTTGATGGCGCGACGGAGAATATATGCTTTTTGGATTGATTGAATGGGTATTGTCGCGCGGGGTCTTACACTGGAGCTTGAAATCAGCAAGGCGTTCTGCGATGAGTGTAGCAAATAGTCACATTCTTTACGGGACTACCTGGAAGTTTTGTCAGGTCCCGGGTGCTTTCTTTTGGGATAAATTAATGTCGAGCTATGGCGCGTCGGTGTATGGTCTTGAGTGTCGCTAGGGAAGAGCAAGAATTCCGACCGAGATTACTGGCAGACTGAATGGCGCATGGGACAGACGATAGTAGTTCGCAAGGGGAGTGTACTATGAGTACTAGGATTGACTGTTTGGCGATTCGAATATAGGTCAGAATGAGGGCAAACAGGCGATGGTAGGCGGGCAGTCGCAGGGGACAGTTTCTGAGAATGGTCGATCGTATACAACTGTCTACAAGATGAACAGTCGGGGCGTATATGCGAGTTGGACGAGGGTTATGCTGCTAGGAAGTAGTTGAGGGGTTTCTGCGTGAGGAAGAAGATTTGCATTGGGTGGCCGTAGTGTTTTTGCTGCTTGGGCTGTTCGGTCGGTACGTTTTGCTTTGGTCGGTCACAAGTCGAGGTATTTCCTGTCTTTCCTCTTTCTGTTTCTTTCCCTTCTTCTTTGCTTCTTGCTTCAACTACCAGAAAAGAAAAGGATCAAGACTGCAAGAACAAGGTGGGAAAAGCCAGCGTTTTAAGACCGGCCGATCCCCACCAAAACCCGCAGGACTACGGGCTTAGTTCAGCTTTTGCTTTTACTTGCTTAGGAAAAGGGAAAGGTTGAGTTAGTTTTTTTTACTCTGCTTAGTTAGTCAGTTAGTTAGTTAGTTTTCTTTTTTTTTTTTTTTTTTTTTTTTTTTTTTTTTTTTTTTTTTTTTTTTTTTTTCTTCTCCTGTCGTGGTTTGATTTCGGATCTTGCTTTGCCTTGCTTGGGGAGTGATTTTAGTAGGAATTATGCAAGTAATTCTGCGGATGAGCTAACCTACTTTTTCTTTTTTTCTTTTCTTACTGTATGGAGAGGAGAG